ATACTAATGAACCAGTGACAAACTGAACATCATCAAAAACACAAAGAATCAGTGTAGCCACCGTGCTGCCCAGGCTGAATTATCAATTGGCTGTTTTTAAGGAAAAGTAATGCACCATCAGGCTACATTTTGGGAGTTTGCTGCTGCTGCTGATGGTTCAATGAAAATGACAAAAAGTGGGCAGCCTTGTCTGGTGCCTTTCTTTGGATTGAAGCTTTGGGATGTTACATAATTTGTCCTAACAGATGCATCCGGAGAGCTGTACAGTATTTTGACTCAATTTATGAAGAATGAGCCAAATCCAAATTTGCTTTAAACTGCTAAAAAAATTTCCAATTTACCCAGTCAAATTCTCTGCGTCTAAAGAGACAACTTAGGAATTTGTAGTTGGAGCGATAATCTATTACATTACATCTATTACATTAATTAGTCTGCTTTTAGTGACCTCCAATTGACGTAACCGGGTGTCATTACCGCCTAATTGAATTATAATTTTACTGAATTTATGTTTACCCTTAGCCAGCAGATTTAAATTTCCCTCTGTGTCGCCTGCTCTGGCACCTGGAAGACAATTAACTATGGTTGGTGGTGTCTCTAGCTTCACATGTCTAAGAACAGACAGGAGTGTTGCCAAGTGGGGAAAATCAGTTAAACACATGAACAGGTTGGTGGTGTACCATGGGCTTCTGTTTAGGACTGCGCTTACTCCTCACCGTCACCCAGCCATCCTGTTTTCCCAGCTACTGGGGACAATCTGCTGGGAGACAGCTGGCAGGAGCCACGCTACCTTCGGCTGCACTGGCTACAGGGGCCTGGCTAAGCTACAGGTTTTTCAAGGGTGCGAATTTGAGTCTTCAATTTATTGATCCTGACCTCCAGAGCTGCAAATAGGCTACATTTATTACAAGCATCATTAGTGCTAAAGAAGACCGAGATGTAACTCCCCTCCCTACTGCTCCCTGCAGGCCATTGCTGCCTCCCCCTGGAAGTGGGTACTTTGTGAATCTTGGGGCTGCTCACGGTGGCTTGGGAGATGGCCTGCTGGGGCCCCTGTTCTTAGTTTTTGCCAGGATTGGCAAGCTTCTGACATGGTCAGCTGCCAAGAGGCCATTCATGTGAAAAGAGAAAGACCATCTCTAAATCAAGGAGGGGGCCTAAGTGTACCTCTTTCACTATCATACAATGCTGTGAGCTATTCCCCAACTCTTTGTAAATAGTACTCATGGTCATTGATCAATGGTCATGACAATTTGCATATTAACAATCATGAAACTGACCTCATGACCCATTGTTAATCAGTGGTGCTAGGTTTGGTTATTATGCGAATGTACTGTTTATAAGGCTGAGGAAACCTGCAGTCAGCTGAGATTGAAAAAATCACTTAAAAGAGTGATGAAACATTTCTCCTACTTATTTCTCCTATGTCCAGGTGAACAGAGTCAGCTTTCTGTGATTTCCTTACCTGGGTGATTGAGCATGCATCAAGACATTTTTTGATGTTTTTCAGGAAATAAGACCAGTTTAAATTGTTCATCTCCTCAAGTTTTTACTAACAATTACTTTGGTTGATTACTGCTGATTGCTGCTCATTTGAGCAAAGCACATATGCCTCCGTACTTTAGAGGGCCTGAGATGTACCCAGAGAGGTTTTGAATGTTTTAATGCAGTACAGTTGTTATTATTATCACTTGTAAAATCCTCTTTATGTCAGTTAAAATAAATAACATTCATATAAGAAATAAAATTGCCTCGTGTAAACTGTATGTCATGCACCATGTCTGCTTAGTCTGCTAGTCATGCGTGCATCATGCACGCACACATGATGCCATTATATTTGGAGATAATTTAAGGGAAAAATTGTGTGCTTAAGATTCAACTCAAAAACCACTAATATGCAGCTTTCAAAAATTCTGTTGTGGAGGGTGGTGTGTTTCAAAAAACAATTTTGAACTGACAAGCTTTAGTTTAGTTGCAAAATCTTTAATTCTGAGTTATATAACTCTGAAGACGTCATTAAGATGAACAGTTTATATCTATAATTTTAAAGTGTGTTCTTTCTTTCTTTCCTTTTTCTCTTTTTAATGTCCCTCATGTTCCAGATTCACATTACTGTTATGGACAGCAATGACAATGCTCCCATCTTCTTCCAACCAACTTATGATGTCGTTGTTTCTGAAGATACACCACCTGACACTGAAGTGGTCCAGGTTCAGGCATCTGACCGTGATAAGCATCAACAGTTGACCTACTCTCTGCAGAGTTCCATAGACCCAAACACCATGGGTCTGTTCCGCATTCATCCCACCCAGGGCACTATCTACACTACTCAGAGGCTTGACCATGAGGCCTGTTCACGACACATTCTCACTGTGACTGTAAGATATACTTTAATCTATGAGTTATTTTTGGTCTAAAAGTCTGTATCATAGAATTGTATTCATCATACAGATAGTTTTCCTGTTTTAATTATGCAAGCACACAGTAATCCTCTGTTTGGGCTGGACTACCTTTTGGTGACATCAGCAGACTAATTACATGGTTTACAAATTACACCATTCAGTAAACCAGTATCCACATCTCACTGCATCATTAGAAGTTACATATCTAATTTTTAAACTACTACATAACACGGGAGAAATATGTGTGGTTAAGGAAAGTGAGGGAGTAACAGTTCTAGTCTAATGGCTTGTTTTTGTAGACATTATTTTGACCTTATCATATATCTTCATCCTATATATATCATTAAAGAAAATATTTAGGTTTGTTTAATCATTTTCTCCACAGGTAAAGGATCAAGAATTCCCATACAGAAAAGATTTGGTCCGTGTACTAATAGAAGTGGAAGATGTAAATGACCACGTACCAATTTTTACCAGTGCTCTGTATGAAGGCTCAGTATATGAGTCAGCAGCAGTGGGATCAGCTGTAGTCCAGGTAACTGCCCTAGACAAAGATAAAGGCGAGAATGCAGAGCTACACTACTCTATTGAAGCAGGTAAGCTATGGCAACTGAGTACTTGCTCCTACATATGTACATGGTTGGAACGTTAATTTGATATTTTGACTATTATTGGGTTTTTTGTTTTTTTTTGTTGTTTTTTTTCTCTTCAACAGGCAACAGTGGAAATACATTCCAAGTTGAGCCAGTTTTGGGTGTCATCACTGTTGCGCATGAGCTGGACCTATCCAGCATAGGCCATTATATTCTCACTGTCAGAGTAATTGACAGTGGCTCCCCCCCACTTTCCACTACCACAATAGTGCGGATTGCTGTCACTCTATCTGATAATGCTGGTCCAAAGTTCCCTCAACCTGAGTATCAGACTGAAATCATGGAGAATGCATTGGTTGGGACCTCTGTCAGTACAGTCAGTGCTGTCAGCCAGTCCACCCTCAATTATGACATCAAGCAGGGCAATACCAATCATGTTTTTCAGATAAATCAGTATAGTGGAGTGATTACTACTCAAAAATCGCTTGACTATGAGACTACAACTTCTTACACACTGATAGTCCAGGCTATTAACATGGCTGGCATGGCCTCCAATGCTACTCTGTTAATCCAGGTAGTGGATGATAATGACAACCCACCAGTGTTCCAGGAGCTTCACTACCATGGGAGTATTAGTGAGGCAGCACCAATTAACAGTGTAGTCTTAAACTTAGATGGTTCACCTCTAGTAATAAAAGCCACTGATGCTGACCGTAACCAAAATGCACTGCTGGTATACCAGATTATTGAAGACACAGCAAAAATGTTCTTCACCGTGGACTCAGGAACTGGCTCCATCAGAACTATTGCTAATTTAGATTATGAAACCTTTACTATCTTTCATTTCCACGTACATGTGAGAGACAACGGAACGCCACAGTTGACAGCAGAAAGTCCAACTGAGGTCACAATACAAGTGATTGACACAAATGATTCCCCACCTCGCTTCACCCAGAGTTCTTATGAAACAGTCCTGTTACTCCCCACTTATGTTGGAGTTGAAGCACTTCAGGTTTCAGCTGCAGACCCTGACAAAAACATCACTACAGAGCTTATATACTCTCTGACTGATGGAGAACTGCAGCACTTTGCCATCAAACCTTCAAGTGGAATTATTGTAGTCAAAAACAACAACTTTTCCAAAGAGCGTTTCCGCTTCAGTGTCAGAGTTTCAGATGGTAAATTCTCTAGCATGGCTTTGGTGACTATAGTTGTCAGAGAAGCTCTAGACTCTGGTCTCAGCTTCACCCACAGTATTTACTCTTCATCTATTAAAGAGAATATATTGAATATCACAAAGGTAGCTGTGGTCAATGCTATTGGAAACCGTCTGAATGAACCACTAAAGTACAACTTGTTGAATGCTGGTACACATTTCAAAATTCGCCCAACATCTGGAGTCATCGAGACCACAGGTATAGCATTTGACCGTGAAGAGCAAGAGTTCTATGAACTGGTAGTTGAGGCAAGAAAGGAGCATGACCCTCTCCATGTGGCTAGAGTCATAGTTAGAGTCCAAGTTGAAGACATAAATGATAATGCCCCTGTGTTTGTTGGACTTCCTTATTATGCAGCTGTTCAAGTAGAAGCTGAACCAGGATCACCCATTTTCAGGGTCATGGCAGTAGATGGTGACAAAGGAATTAATGGGCAAGTATCTTACTATCTCAAAGATGACCATGGTCATTTTGAAATCAACAGGCAGACAGGTAGTCTCAGCCTCAAGAGGTCTTTTGAGTCTGATTTGTCCAATGTGGAATACCGAATGGTGATATATGCCAGAGACAGTGGTTATCCACCCCTTTCATCTACAATAGAGTTTCCCATCACTGTAGTCAACAAAGCCATGCCTGTTTTTGCCAAATCATTTTATACTGTTGCTGTGAATGAGGATGTAGCTGTGCACACACCTATCCTTGGCATCAATGCCTCAAGCCCTGAAGGACAAAGCATCATCTACACAATTGTTGATGGAGATCCATCCCTACAGTTTGACATTGGTTTTGATACCGGAGTCATAAGTGTCATCCATGCTTTGGATTTTGAGGCAACATCATCTTACCACCTGACTGTTAGAGCCACAGACTATCTTACTGGTGCCCATGCTGAGGTTGATGTAGATGTGTTTGTCCAGGATGTCAACGATAATCCACCTATCTTCCAGAAAATGACCTACAGGGTAGTTTTATCTGAAACAGCCATGATTGGAACGCCAGCACTCCAAGTAGTTGCCACAGACAAAGATTCAGAGAAAAACAATGTTGTCCGCTACCAGATCTTCTCGAATTCACGTAATAATACAGAGTACTTTCATATTGACAGTAGCAGTGGATTAATCCTGACAGCTCGTATGCTAGACCATGAACTACTCCAAAAATATGACTTTATTGTCAGGGCAACTGATAATGGTTTTCCACCGCTGAGTAGCGAAGTGTCTGTGACAGTCATGTTGAATGACATAAATGACAATCCTCCAGTTTTCAACCAGCTGCTCTATGAGGCATATGTGAATGAGTTGGCAACAAGGGGTCACTTTATAACCTGTGTCCAGGCATCTGATGCAGACAGCTCAGATTTTGACAAGTTGGAGTACAGTATTTTATCAGGAAATGAAAAAAGGAATTTTGCAATAGAAAAAAAGACAGGGATAATCACACTGTCCAGCCACCGTAAGCAAAGAATGGAGCCTGCCTATAGTCTCAATGTTTCAGTATCTGATGGGGTGTTCACCAGCACTGCACAGGTTCATGTAAAAGTGTGGAGGGCCAATCTGCATAGTCCAGTGTTTGAACAGAATATGTATGAGGCGGAGCTAAGAGAGAATGCTGCTGTGGGAACCAAAGTTATACAGGTAGGTGCAGTAAGGATTCATTAAATTATACATTAAAAAGAAATAACATTAAGTATATTAAGTAGCTATAAAGTATTTTTCTGAATTGACAAGGGTGATCAAAATTTTCATTTCAGGTCAAGGCAACAGATGCAGACCCAGGAGAGTTTGGGCTCATAACTTATTCCTTTGTGAATGATGTTGGTAAGGACAAGTTTAGCATCGATGCAAATGGTCAGATCTACACCACAGAAAAACTTGATCGTGAGGATCCAGCTAACAAAGACATTGTTCTCACAGTGGCGGCCCAAGATTTAGGTGGACAAGTCTCTTACTGTACAGTACAAGTTACTCTATTGGACGATAATGATAATGCACCTTGTTTCCGTGCCACAGAGTATCGAGCTTCAGTGAAATCTGATGTGGCTCAAGGTTTTTTGGTGACACAGATTCAGGCCCATGATCCTGATCATGGCATTAATGCTAAAGTGACATATTCACTTTACAGTGAGGCAAATGTACCAGTGGTAGACATTTTGGAGATAGACCCGGACAATGGATGGATGGTGACTAAAGGCAGTTTCAGCCATTTCAGAAATTCTGTATTATCTTTCTTTGTGAAGGCTGTTGATGGAGGAAATCCAGTCAGACACTCTCTAGTATCTGTCTATATCCACGTTCTTTCTCCAGAGACTTTTATTCCATCCTTTAGCCAATATCATTATTTATTCAATACACCAGAGAACACTCTTATTGGTTCAGTCATAGGAACAGTTCACCTCAACGCTCCTCTTGAATTTACATCACTCTCTACTACTTTTGCCCTGGTTAATGGAGAGGCTGGTGAAAACAACCACGATGGTGTGTTTGTGGTGGAAAAGCATACTGGAGTGATCAAACTTGATAAGCCTTTGGACTACGAGGTGATCAAAGGATACTACTTCAAAGTCACTGCCACGGCACAACAGGCTAAGCTTGATTCGGTGAGTTGTGTTGAAGTTGAAGTCAAGGTATTGGATTTGAATGACAACAAACCAGCTTTTGAGGCCAACTCATATGATACCACCATTATGGAAGGAATGCCAGTTGGAACCAGAATCATTCAAGTTCAAGCAAGAGACCCAGATTCTGGAGCAAATGGCCAGGTAACATATAAACTTGGTTCATTAATCCAGTTAAAAGAGGATTCAGACACACTGGTCAGCACTTTTAGCATTGACAGCAATACTGGTTGGATCACTACACGCAAAGACCTGGATCATGAAACTAGCCCCTCGTACACTTTTACAGTGGTGGCCTCAGACCTTGGGGAGACCCTGACTCTTTCCAGTACAACCACTGTCACAGTTTCATTGTCAGACATCAATGACAACCCTCCCAGGTTCATGGAGAACCACATCTTTGGTTCTGTTCAGGAGAGTGACCGCCCAGGAGAGGTTGTGGCTGTGCTGATAACTAGAGATGATGATAGCTCTGCCTTCAACCGTCAAGTCAGCTATCACATCACTGGTAAGTCCCAAGGCAAATATTTTTTACTGCATTGTTAAGGAATAACAGATAGAAAACAGAAAAAAACTTAAATACATCTATTAATTAAATCAACAATTGACGTTAGGTAATTCAATTCAGAGCACTTTGTTTTTATAGCGCCAAATCACAACAGCAGTTGTCACTAAGTATTTTACACTGTCAGGTGTAAATAACATACAGAGAAACCTGCAACAATCAAGCGATCTCTCCAGCCTCTTTTTGAGCAAAAACTTAAGTAAAATGTATTTATATAGCACTTTTTACCGAAAAAAATCACAAAGTGTTTCACAGTAAAATAAATAAATAAATAATAAGAATGTAAAATAAATAAATAAACAAAATTTAAAACAAAATGCAAAACAACAACAATGAAGAGAAGCAAAAACTGGAGTGATATTGATTTTCATTTCACTGATCAAAAGATAGTAGACTCTTACTGTGGGATTCAGGAAACAAATACCATCTTTCAATGTTTCTTGAAGTCAGCCTGGGATATTCTTTGTATGAATAAGGTCCAAATCTGCAGATCAAATGTAAAATATTCATAAATGACTATAGAGTATGGATAATGATTGCTCTCCAAGTGCATGTCTGATTAAACATAGTGATTTGGCTGATCAACGGGCAGTGAGCTACAGGAAAAAAACAACATACTATAATTAGATACATTTAAAATTCATTAAATCGCCTTAACCATAAATCTTTATAGAATATGCAATTGAGTTATTATTACTTTCCGTAATTTTTGCCAATTTTGATAAATGAAATAGAATTTCCTTTATATAGCGCCAAATCACAAGAACTGTTCCCTAAAGATCCTTTATATTGTAAGGTAAAGAACCCTAAAATAATACAGTGAAAACCCCAACAACGACCCATAATACCATAAGGCAGAGCCTTTGGCTTATGGGCCCTTCTTCTGTGTAAGATGCACCAGTTTTGATTCAGGAAATGGACACCTTGTCGACTTTAAAGACTAGGTTTAAAAATTGGTGTGATTGTAGCCCAGGAGGATGGAGCAAGTCATTTACTAATTGGAAGTTTGGTGGTTCGATTCCTGGATGCTTCAGTGTGCATACCAAATATCCTTGAGCCAAATACTAACCCCTGTAATGCATGCACTGGAGTGTGAATGTGTGTAAATGTTAGAAAACACTATTTTCTGACATTTAGAAAATAGTTTGTATAAAGCCTTTTTGAGTGCTGAGGTAGAGCAGAAAATCGTTATATAAAACCAGTCCATTACCAAAACTTCGCTTTTGCTAAACAATGTAGTTTGAACTGGATCTGGTGACACCGAATCTTTCCTTTGTTACACTGCAATAGGCTTAGGCTTCCCATGAGTCACTATGTCATGATGCAGTATTTCTTCCTCAATCACCTTATTCACTCTGTGATTGTATGTAATTTCTGCATCATCATGTAATTTCAAATGCAACATTCAACTTCAAAACTTTAGAGTCAGCTCCTTAACTGCTTGTATCTGTTCATTGTCTAGTTCAGTCTGTTGTCGTTGTGGACTTGTACTCTTATGTACACCACACTGACATTCTGTCTCAGGATAGTCATGGACCATCTAGTTGTACTCTTTCGGAGGTTGGTCTTTCTCTGGTCTTATACCCATTCAAAAGCAGATGATATATCTCTGACCATTCCACAAAATCTTCTACTAATACTCTCCTCCTGCATATCACACATATTTTCAACCTACTGCATAATCATCTGAATATTTCTGTAGAGGAGGTCCTGGAGGTGTACTGAAAGTCTGAAGTGTAATAAGTGAACAGGAATTGAAACAGTGCAGCCCTTTCTGGAGCTCCAGTACTATAAATCACAATGTCAGATAGAGCACTGCCAAATCTTACATACTTTATACTGGATGTGATTACTGACATTTCCTGTGTTTTCTCCCTGAGTGACACTGGTTAGATTGTGTTGAAAAGCTTTTGTAACCCACATCAACTACACTGTCACATCCAACCATTACAATAAAATATATATGGAAGCTTCATAAGGGCAACTGTGGGTCATGTGATAGAGAGGGTTATCTACCAATGGTGGAATCCACACACTCAAGTAACCTCGGGCAAGATACTGAGCCCATTGCCTCTACTTGGCATATGAGCACAAGAAAGTATGCGTTTAGGTGTAGATGATAAATGTGCTGTGTGAATGTAGGTGTGACTGGCTGAGTAAGGTCTGCAGTAGAAAATGGTTTAAATTTTCAACTGAATAGAATGGTGCTATAGAAGTATTAGGTTTTTTTTGTTTAACATAATCTGCCTTTGGATCCTCTTCCACACGCTCCATTCCTTACACAACTTTAAAAACAAGTGGCCTCTAACTTTACTTGATATTCTCTGCATCAAACTGTAAAAGTCAGAAATAAACCCACAAACAACAGCTGATAGCATTGTCATTCTCTCTGTTGTCAGCCTTTAATACTAGTTCTTATAGTTGTTTGTTTCCCAGAAACTTTATATGCAAGTGTCTAATAATGATGCTTTCATTTTTTGGGGGGGTATTTAGCCTAACCCTCAGCCCCTGGCTGTATGTGATACACCAGCAGATTAAAAAAAACCCAAAAAACCCCAAAAAAAACAAAATGGATATGATTGAATTCTGACTGTTCCAGAGAAGTCTTGGGAAGCTGCTCAAGTTTTGAAGATCTGCACCTACACAGTTTGAAATTACAGACCTAAGTAATTAACCTGTTTGGAAATCAGTCTATGGCTGTGGTTGGCTACTATTGGCCACTATCTGCGCAGAGCCTTCTCCAATTTGACTTTTATCTGAACTGCATTTTAATGAAATAAATGATTTTAATTGGGACTGACTTTCTTCTTCGTCTGATGGCACACTGTTTATCTTTAAACTTTAAACAAAATATTCAAAGCCTTAATCCCAAATCACCAGATAAATCATCTCTTATTAACACTTTTTTAAACTAGTATGCCAAATAGGTTTGTGGGTGAGAAACGCTAATTTAACTGGGGTCGTATTACAATTCCAATTTAGCATGGAGATATTTCCATTGGCCATTCTCCTACATAAGAGCAACCAGACGTGGGCTACTGCGAGAAAGTCTGACTAATGACGATTGGCTATGTTTTCGTAAGTTTCGTAATTGGTTCAATGCCTCCATTAGGAGGGCAAATGCTCATACCATCAAGATGGTTTCTGAACAGTCACAGCTAGCTTTTGATTGTATACAGTCACAGCTGTGTCAGCTCTGACTGGTTCTAAATACAAATAAAACCAAGGTCATGTTGTTCTGAAATAGAAAGTGCATGTCTGCAGTACTTCACTCTCTTGTACCCGGCATTTCTATTGAACCTGTGACCTCATATAAATACTTGGGTGTTTGTGATTGGTGATAATCTTTCCTGTAAGCTACATATTGCTCATCTGTTAAATAAACTTTTTTCTTTTTTCCAAAATCATTGCTAATTTGTGTTTCACTTTCACTCCAAGGAAAAGGCATCTTGCTACCACCTTTTTACCCCTCCTAACTAGCTCTGCTCATTCTCTCCATCTTTTGGACTCTATCTGGTTGACTGGTCCTTATTGGCCTTGCTATTTGTGGTTTACTGCCCTCCTATTACATGTTACTTAAAGATTTTAGTCATAGTTTGTGGTCTCAAGACTTAATTACATTGAGCGTTGCATCAGTTTGTACAGAACTCGGAAAGAAGACATTCTTCTTTTCTGCCCCGTTTCCATGGATTACATTACAGAAGGTCTTACAGCTCTCTCAGTAGATTTCACTTGCAGAGTTTAAAAGATGTACAAATGCCTTTGTGAAATCATAATTGTGAATTTGTTCTTGTTTTTCCAGTAACTGTTTAAACATGAGATAATTTTTATTTTTGTCATTTTATTCCTATTTTATTGTTTTATTGTTATTTTATTTTGTTTGTCTCTCTTGTAAATGAGACATTGAGTCTCAATGAAGGTTAAATAAATTAATGACCACCTCTGGTGGAGTTGGGCTCCCTCCTCCTGCTGGCATGGTATCGCCGAGATGTGTGGTCCCAAATCTTCCCTACCGTTGAGGGCTGCTGATGGCCCATCTCTGCCTCTTGCTCTGGTGGGGCATTTTTGCAGTTTCCCACCCTAATTTCTTTTTTTCTTTTTTTTCGTCTGTCCCATTTGGTTCTTTAGCCGTCAGAATTGTTGTCTGAAGACCAACAAGGATATCCAGTGGATTTACTTTGCCAAATGGATCATCACGACCTTGCCGTATTGGTCCATTTGATCGACCTTTGTTGTTATTATTTATTTTATTTTATTTTCAGTTGTTACAGACGGGACAGACATGACTGAGGGATAGTGTTAAGAGATATACTCTAAAGCACTTCTTCAGTAGAGACTCAGAGAAGAGAAACACACAGAACTTCTTGCTAGCAAGGGCAGCCCATATGCGAATCCAGAGATCTGAACCAATCTTGTGATGGTTTGTTCGGGATCATTAAAAATAAGTAATTTATTTTTGGCAAGATCATCATTTTTATAGTGGCGACCCTTCCCATGAGTGATATGGGTA